AGACATATCTATTAGTTTTCTTTATTAAAACAATGTATTATTTTACTAGAATTTAGCTAGGATTCCTAAGTTATGGATTGCATAAATAAAAGCTTACCTACTAAAAGTTTTTATATGCACAAGAAAGTTAAAACAAGGATACATTTCTATTAAGTATTTTATTTCTATAGANACATTTTGTACTAACTATATGTTCTCATTTTTGTAGTTATACTTGCTTACTCAGTAAAATTGCTTTTCATTTATTTGTAATTGTGTTTATTAATTCAATCAACTGATTCTAGATTTTTTCTATCATAAATGTATATATATATTGTATTAGAAAATGTACAGATATTGAATGAGGTTTATTCTCGATCAAGATACAGCAAAAAAGTTATATACCACATAATGTATTTATAATTAAAAATAAACATTTAATTTATGCCATACTAATTACTTTACACTATTTTTTTCATTATGTAATTATTTGTCTTTTGCTCTTTCTCTCCTCTTTATATGATATTTATTTGAAAGAACAACATTACGTAAAGTAGAATTTAGAAACCTTTTATTAATAGATTCTTTTGGTTTCATCCATCCACTTGGACCCATTATCTCAGCTCTTCTTGCTCCGAGCTTAGCTTCTTCCAATATAGCCTCAACTGCAAGTCTATAAATGAAAATATTAATTTATTATTACTTAGAAATTTAGAGTTTGTCAATAATATTTCATAGATTCTTATATTCGTAAACCTTCTGATGTATTTATTAATAGTGTATATATAATAATAATAGTGTATGGTATATTATAATATTTGAACATTATTACTTACCTGTTTAATGTTTCGTCGTCCATTATAATAAAATGTATGTATGCAATTTTGATAATGATTGTCCTTAGAAAATAGAACCGTTTCGTTTTCTCGTTGTTAAAAGTATTAAGTATTTATGAAACATTCTATTTGATTGTGCGAAATTTTTGTTTCGACACCTTACGTACACATTCTGTATAGTGATTGACATAAACAACAGTTCAGTTTGAGTTACAAATCTGAGGTTATATTCATGTCATATAGCACACCCAGACTTCTATGCTATAGAATTATCTGGAATTATCTTCGTGAGCGACTGCACCTGCGTTGTTATATTCGCGTCTTTTGATTCAAACGATTCAAACACTTCTGAAACAGATCAGTTATGTACATATAATAATTATTGTTACGTTACATACACACATATTTCCGAATCCGGGATAAAATTGGAAAAAGACGTTGACTATGTAATATACCAATATCAAATAAAATTTAGGTTTTAAATTTACTTGCTACAGTATTTCAATAATATACATATAGAATATATACAATGGAGGATCAACAATTAATTGAGTTGAGAGAATTGAAAGCAAAATTACTTGAGAAAACAGAAAATTTATTGAAAAAATTGAAAAACAAAGAAAATGAAGACAAATCTTCTATTAAATTGTATGATGTAATTTCAATATAATGGTTCAGTTTCTGTCAATGGAAAATAGAATGTAATATATGTATTAAATTTATTGTAGCGCACCAGACACCATAAAGGAGATCATATCAGAAGAAAATAAATCACATAAACATAAATTGTTGAAGGTTACTCGTAAAGTAACAGGTATAAGATTTCAAAACATGGATAGAGAATTATTGGATGATAACATTTTCAAATATACTGCTGAGTTAATAACGTCAGCTCTTAAATTTTTTGTAGAACTGTCAGTAAAGCTAAAGGTATAGTTGTGAAATAATTATATAATTATGTACACAAACTTTGTCAGTATATTTCATCAACGACACATTGTGTATGTGAGAAGAACTTATTCTTTAATTCTGGTTTTAGGGAGAAAAAGGATTTGAAATAAAAGATATAACATGTCATTTTATAGACATTGATAAATGCTATTTGTTAGAAATTCAATTTTGGATACAAGACTTCAGTAGGAGAAAAAACTTTTCACTTTTAACATCTGGTATTTTACAGTCTTTATAATAACATATTAATGCAATAATATATTAAATAGCATATTTGATATTCCCATTTTAGCTGTTTCATGGTACAGCGAACAAAGCAGAGTAAGAAAAAGTATATTAGAACTACTGAAGCAAAGAAAATATGGCACTTATGAACAATGTCAGGAGGGAAGTGGAGGCATAATACTATTCATCCATTCTCCTAAAAATGTAGAACAAGATCTTTCTATTTCTTTAAAAAAGGTTTATTTGAAAATTCAGTGGTCACTAATATTTTTTGAGAAACTATGGCAATGTGAACATGTGTTTGAAATATGTCCTACTCCACAAGGTACTAGTTGTAACTAGCCTGATTTGTTTTATGTACATTTATATTTCTATCTAATTATTTTTAGGTATGGACTTTGCAAGTCAAAATCAAGATTTGATGAGAAGTTTTTGCAAAAAATGTATTACTAATAATGAGCTTCTAGACTTA